TAGCCAAAAGCATGCCCCTCCCCCATCCCCCCGCCGTCCGACCACGCCGCGCAGCAGGAGACGTATCTAGTGAAGTGCGAGGGACAGGGTTGGCCTTTGGCTGCCGGCATGCGCTGGAGACCTAGTCCTATCATTCACCAAAGCATGGGGGAGGGGTCAGAACATAGCACAAGCAAAGAGCGGGGAAGATGGTCATGTGATGTTCTGGAGCTCCTCCATAGAACGGACCATAAATTGGGCTTCAGCCTGGGTGCAGCTGACGGCCAACACACATACCCATATACCTGTATACCTGTGTACTGATTGTTGGTGTGACCAGTGACCGGCGTCTGTCGGGTAATCGCACTCTCTCTATACTCCTGCTCAGGTCCCATGAACTGCGCTCCAAGGTCATCTCCCTGCAGCTCCTGCTGTCAGTATTGCAGAACGCCGGCCCCGTCTTCAGGACCCATGAAATGTTCATCAATGCCATCAAGCAATACCTGTGTGTCGCGTTGTCGAAGAATGGCGTCTCCGGCGTGCCCGACGTCTTCGAGTTGTCGCTCGCCATATTCCTGAGCCTGCTCTCCAACTTCAAAATGCACCTAAAAATGCAGGTGGAGGTAAGCCGGCTCCGCCCATAGTCTACAATAGGACTCCAGTGTTCCACGACACGGCATCTCAGAGGCCATTATAGTCTGGGTGGGTGCGCCCCAACACATCGCCCTCCCTGCGCCCCATCACATCGCCCTCCCTGCGCCCCAACACATCGCCCTCCCTGCGCCCCATCACATCGCCCTCCCTGCGCCCCGTCGCATCGCCCTCCCTGCGCCCCATCACATCGCCCTCCCTGCGCCCCAACACATCGCCCTCCCTGCGCCCCATCACATCGCCCTCCCTGCGCCCCAACAACCCTCCCCCTCCCTGCGCCCCGTCGCATCGCCCTCCCTGCGCCCCGTCGCATCGCCCTCCCTGCGCCCCGTCGCATCGTTCTTCAGAGGAGCAGGATCTCCTCTGAAGAACGTCGGACGTCTCCCGGAAGCTTTGTGTCATTTCTCCCTTCTCTCCTTTTTCCTTTTGTAGGTGTTTTTTAAAGAAATCTTTTTGAATATTCTGGAGACGTCGTCGAGTTCCTTTGAGCACAAGTGGATGGTGATCCAGACCCTGACCAGGATCTGCGCAGGTATGGCCGACCATCGCCCCTCACATCCAGGTCATGGGGGGACCACTCATGTGACATCATCAGAGCTAATGGGGGTCTCGCTGAGTGATTGGGCGGCACGGCAGACCTCCGGGTTATAGGCTGCTCCTCCCCTTGTGGGCGGCACCACTTGGCGGCAATCTATAGCCGTGTCACACTGAGCCCCCACAACCAACAAACTAGTGCTGGGAAGAATGTTCTAGAATGATCTTTATACTCGTACATCCGTCCAGTCTCTAAATGCTAGATCCAGGTTTTCATGCTGTCACTTATTAGGGGCCCAAATGTCTCTGCAGATCCAGATATCACCTTGTAAAAGCAGCTTTGACATCATCACTGTGCTGTACGTAGCCCGTGCAGAGGGCAGAGCCGTGTGAGAGACCCAGCAAGCTCCACCCACTACAGGAGGGGGCGGAGACAAGACCAGTCACCCTGCACAAGGAGAGAGAGCAGCAATGAGTGGTCTTTATTACAGGAGGGGGCGGAGACAAGACCAGTCACCCTGCACAAGGAGAGGAAGAGCAGTGACCGGTCTTTATTACAGGAAGGGGAGGAGACAAGACCAGTCACCATGTACAAGGACAGAGATCAGCAGTGACCGGTCTTTATTACAGGAGGGGGCGGAGACAAGACCAGTCACCCTCCACAAGGAAAGAGCAGTGACTGGTCTTTATTACAGGAGGGGGCGGAGACAAGACCAGTCACCCTGCACAAGGAAAGAGCAGCAGTGAGCGGTCTTTATTACAGGAGGGGGCGGAGACAAGACAAGTCACCCTGCACAAGGACAGAGAGAGCGGCAGTGAGCGGTCTTTATTACAGGAGGGGGCGGAGACAAGACCAGACACGCTGTACCAGGGGAGAGAGCGGCAGTGAGCGGTCTTTATTACAGGAGGGGGCGGAGACAAGACCTGTCACCCTGCACAAGGGGAGAGGGCATTATATGATGTATAAACCCGTCACCTGTATACGCTTTCCTCGGTTGCAGATGCTCAGTGTGTGGTGGACATCTACGTTAACTACGACTGCGACCTCAACGCTGCTAATATTTTTGAACGACTTGTGAACGACTTGTCCAAGATTGCTCAGGGAAGGAGCGGGCATGAGCTGGGGATGAGCCCCCTGCAGGTAAGGTTGGACTGGGTCGCGGCGCTGGCTGGACTATGGCGCGGCGGCTTATTATAATCTCGCATTTCTGTGTCCAGGAGATCAGTCTGAGGAAGAAAGGTCTGGAGTGTCTGGTCTCCATATTGAAGTGTATGGTGGAATGGAGCAAAGATCTCTACATCAACCCCAACCAGCAATCCATCCTCGGTAAGCCGCTCCTCGCCGGAGCTCTGATATCGGCAACCAATGGCGTAGCTGAGCAGCGGCAGCGTTCGGGAACATTCTCAGCCGTTTCCATTGAAAGATGCCGGAGAAGGTTTGACGATTGCCCCGGGTGTTCTTCCCCCCCCATGGAAGGGCTCGGTAATGACGGTGCCCTCGGGGAGCCCCGCATAGAAGGCGATACCCTCGTAGCTGACATGTACAGATGTGAGAGATGAAGGGGTTAATGCCTCGCACACTGCATAGATATTCTGCCGGTGCCGGAGGTCCCATTAAGGAAGCCGGGCGGCGTGTAACGACTCGCCACCCGGCTTCCCGATTAGCAGGGAAGTCAGCCCCACGCTCCCTCATCACCAAGTGACGAGGAAGCATGGAGCCGGCTTCCCGACCAATCAGGAAGCGAGGCGGCAAGTCATTACACGCTGCCTGATTGGCCAGAAAGCCGGCTCCATGCTTCCTCGTCACTTGGTGATGAAGGAGCGTGGAGCCGACTTCCTGATACCGGAAGCTCAGCTATCGGGCCAGGCAGCGGAGCATTTGGGTAAGTACAGGCAGGGGGGGGGACGGCCGATACTCATGTAAGGGGCCTGGGGGGCCCGCCCGGGTCCCTTACATGACTATCGGCCGACGGTGAAGGGCGAGGAGGTGGAGGCCTGGCCCTAGCAGCGCAGGGCCCCAGCGACGCAGCTCGTCTGATGTCGGAGTGGCCGGAAGTGACGTCACGCTAGTGACGGGACATCACTTCTGGCTGGTCCGACGGCAGACGAGGCCATGTGTGCAGGTAAGAGGAGCTAGGGAGGGGTGCAGCCCTGACCAGCCCACCTGAGACCCCTTCAGAGCCCACCATAGACAGTCTCAGATGGGCTGTGCAGCATCTATGGTGGGCTCTGCAGGGTCACTCTTAGGTGGGTCCTGCGTCCAGCGCGTCACTAAGCCCTGCGTCCAGCGCGTCACAGCCCTGCGTCCAGCGCGTCACAGCCCTGCGTCCAGCGGGGGGGGGTTGGTGCCCAGCCTAAAACCGTGTAAGGGGCCCCAAAATTTCTGATGGCTGCCCTGAGTACGGGTGCGTCCCCCAATACTCGGCACTGATATCGGCACCGGCGCATTCCTAGGTAAATCGGAAACGAATGTTATCTGGAAAGACAAAGTTGTCGGGTTTCTTTGCCAGACATTGCAAGCCGAGTGAAGATCACTGAGATCTCCGGGTAATGATCGATCTATCAGTGAGGTCCTGATGGTGCGGGGGAGGAGGAGTGTGAATACCCCGATTGGTGTGCCGGAGTTGTGGGGGCGCACACACAGATTGTACACGGAGACTACAGTCACACCGCCCTCATCATCTCCTCCTCAGGTCAGGCGACTTCCTGCGAACCGGAGACCATTGAAAACAAAACTCCGGACATATCGGGCCGCAGGAGCAGCGCCAGCTCGGTGGATTCCTCGGTGTCGTCGTGGATTGTCGCCGACGACCCTGAACAGTTTGAGGTCATCAAGCAGCAGAAGGAAATCATTGAGCACGGCATTGAACTGTGAGTAGAAACGTCCAGACCTCCACCCAACCGACTGGCCTGTGCTGGGGGGACCGAGGTACCAGGGGCGCACAGAATACCAAAACCCTCT